AGAAAGAAAGAAAGAAAGAAAGAAAGAAAGAAAGAAAGAAAGAAAGAAAGAAAGAAAGAAAGAGAAGCATACGCCAGGAATTTCAGGTAAACCTAGAGGCAACACAAGTATTTCAGAGTTTTCTTTGCTCCTCTCTTCCATCCCAGCATGAAGTGAAACCTGCAGGCTCATTGAGAGTCACAACAAGTAGCTATCTCACCTCTGTCTCAGCATCTTCCTAAGGCAATATCATCTGAATTTAGCTTTCATGATTAACCTTTGGCATCCTTGCTTTGTGCTCCAGTCCTCCACATGCACAGCTATAGACACACATGACTTACGTCTTGCAGGATTTACAAGTCTCTTGACTTCATAGCTAGATTCTTGTACTTCTTGCACATGAAAGTGACTATTTCAGTAAATGTTTTTAATCAAATATTATTATTATCATTTATTACAATTTATTCAATTTTTATCCTGGATGTGACAACACCTTTGTCTCCTCCCAATCCTACACTCTCCTCCTTCTTCTCCTCCTATTCCCCTCCCCTAGTCCACTGATAGGGGAGGTCCTCTTCCCCTTCTATTTGACCCTAGCCTATCAAGTTTCATCAGGACTATTTGCATTTTTTTCCTCTGTGGCCTGGCAAGGCTGCACTCCTCCAGGGGGAGGTGATCAGAGAGCCTGTCACTGAGTTCATACCAGAGAAAGCCCCTTATTAGGTAACCCACTTGGAAACTTTGTCCATGGGCTACATCTGAACCAGGGGTTTTAGGTACATGCATTACCCTTGATTGGGGTATCAGTCTCTGCAGGGTCCCCAGGGCCCAGTTTTCTTGGCTTTGTTGGTCTCCTTTTGGAGCTCCTGTCCCCTCCAGGTCTTTCTATCTCCTACTTCTTTCATAAGATTCCCTGCATTCTGCCCAAAGTTTGGCTGAGTCTCAGCCTCTGCTTTGATATCTCAATCAGTAGAGTCTTTCAGAGGCCCTCTGTGGTAGGCTCCTCTCCTGTTCCCTATCTTCTCCTGCTTCTGATATCTATCACCTTTCCGAATGAGGATTGAGCATCTTCCCTGGGGCCTTCCTTGATGTTTAGCTTCTTTAGGTATAAATTTTAGTATATTTAGTCTAAATTATATTTCTAATACTCACTTATGAGTGTGTATATACCATGCGTGTCTTTCTGCTTCTGGGTTAGCTCACTCAAGATATTTTTCTAGTTCCCACCATTTGCCTGCAAATTTCATTATTTCCTTATTTTAATTGCTGAGTAGTATTCCATTTTGTAAATGTACCACAATTTCTGTATCCATTCCTCAGTTGAGGGACATCTGGGTTTTTTCCAGATTCTGTCTATTACAAATAAAGCTGCTACAAACATGGTTGAGCAAATGTCCTTGTATACTTGAGCATCTTTTGGATATATGCCTAGGAGTGGTATAGCTGGATCTTGAGGAAGCGCTATTTTTAGAAAGTGCCAGACTGATTTCCAAAGCAGTAGCACAAGTTTTCATTCCCTCCATCAAAGGAGGAGTGTTCCCCTTTCTCCACATCCTCTCCTGCATGTGTTATCACTTGTGGTTTTGATCTTAGCCATTCTAATGGATGTAAGGTAAAAATCTCATGGTTGTTTTGATTTGCATCTCCCTGATGACTAAGGCTGTTGAACATTTCTTTAAGTGTTTCTTTGCCATTCAGTATTTCTCTGTTTAGCTCTGTACTCCATTTTTTAATGGATTACTTGGTTTGTTGGTGTTTAATTTCTTAAGTTCTTTATATATTCTGGATATTAGCCCTCTGTCAGAAAAAAAAAATGGAACCCCTCACAAATTTGCATGTCATCCTTGAGCAGGACCCATGCTAATCTCTGTATTGTTCAAATTTTTGTATATGTGCTGCGGAAGCGAGCACTTCATTGAACATCTTTGACACATAGAAAATTGATCATGGTTCTTTTAAGGTTTCTATATTCTAGCACTATTTTACTTACATTTGTTCAAATGTAAGAATGTAAAGGAAATGAGACTTTCACATTTTTCTAAAACTGGTTTAATTTCTTTAATAACCTAATCTACAAGGATGAAAAATAAATAAAAATCAAAAACAGCCCCCTGGACTATCTATTAACAATATTACATCTTCTGACATAGACCATGTCTGCTCTACTTAAATATTAAAGATTCACAAAGTTTTACTTCCAATACTAGCTGACTGACATAGACTTCCCCAACTTTTCAAGCAGAGTGTTACCAGTGAGTTACTGCAAGAAAATTCTTCTTCCAGAGAGGAATATAAGCACATATAGGAATTAACCATGTCCTTGTGGCAGTGGGTAGAGAAACAGTTGGTTTTCATATTTTAAAGATTTTATTAAACAAATGTTAGGGATTACATAAACTGAGCAACTGAGTGAGATAGGATTTTTGCAAATAAAATAGCAAATCAACTCACTCAGTTATACATATAAGAACAAAACAATGACGGGGTATTTTATAATTAAACAGAATCAAAGAAATAAACTCTTCTAAGGGTATACAACTTACTAATTAGGGGGAAAAGTCGCAGTCCTAAAACGATACTGAAAGAATAACAAACTGTGCTAACACTCATAAACACATATGCACGTCTACAAATACATTATCCCCAAATCTAAGTGCCAAATTACTGCAGACCCTTGAAAAACCCCATGAAGTGGGGAGGGAAAAGCACATAATTTTCTTGCTTTCTTCCTCAATAACATTATATGTAGAAAGATAAACTTGATAACACAGAAAAACCTTTAAAAAACAAATCATGAAATAATAAAAAATATTTCAAGTATTCACTTATGTTAATGAGATATTATCTCGTTTACTATAGCTTTCAGGTATATAATACAGAATTCTTTGAGAATTAATATTCTATTTTGGTTATTTGAATATTAATAAAATGTATACGTTGGTTACCACACTCTCTAAAAAAACAGAAGGACATATACTTCATGATCCAATCCCTTTTTATGGTAGAAAAATGGCATGTATAAATAACTTATCCATGGCCACAATGACTAGTCTTCTGAAGCTGTAAGCAAGCCCCCAATTAAATGTTTTCTTGGTCACTGTATTTGTTCACAGTGATAATAGTAACAGTCTTACCTGCTCTATTGTGGTGAAGACCAAGGTAACTTTTTTTTAAATTTTTTATTAATTACACTTTATTCATTTTGTATCCCCCCATAAGCCCCTCCCTCCTCCCCTCCCGATCCCACCCTCCCTCCCCTTTCTGCATGCATGCCACTCCCCAAGTCCACTGATAGGGGAGGTTCTCCTCTTCTTTCTGATCTTAGTCTATCAGTTCTCATCAAAAGTGGCTGCATTGTCCTCTACTGTGGCCTGGTAAAGCTGCTCCCCCCTCAGGGGGCAGTGATCAACGAGCAGGCCAATCAGATTATGTCAGAGGCAGTCCCTCTTCCCATCACTATGTAACCCACTTGGACACTGAACTGCCATGGGCTACACCTGTGCAGGGGTTCTAGGTCATCTCCACAAATAGTCCTTGGTTGGAGTATGATTTTCTGGGAAGTTCCCTGTGTTCAAATTATCTTGTTCTGTTGCTCTCCTTGCGGAGTTCCCGTCCCCTCCAGCTCTTACTATTTCCCACTTCTTACATAGAATTCCATTCACTCTGCCCATCAGTTGGCCATCAGGCTCAGCATCTGCTTTGACAGTCTATACTGCAGAAGCTTTCAGAGGCCCTCTGTAGCAGGTTCCGGTTGTGGAGAAAGGGGAACCCTTCTCCACTGCTGGTGGGAATGTAAACTGGTACAACCACTCTGGAAATCAATCTGGCGCTTTCTCAGACAACTAGGAATAGCGCTTCCTCAAGATCCAGCCATACCACTCCTAGGCATATACCCAAAAGAGGCGCAAGTACACAAAAAGGACATTTGCTCAACCATGTTTGTAGCAGCTTTATTTGTAATAGCCAGAAGCTGGAAACAACCCAGATGCCCCTCAACTGAAGAATGGATGCAGAAACTGTGGTACATCTATACAATGGAGTATTACTCAGCAATGAAAAATAAGGAAATCATGAAATTTGCAGGTAAATGGTGGGATCTGGAAAGGATCATCCTGAGTGAGTTGTCCCAGAAGCAAAAAGACACGCATGGTATATACTCACTGATATAAACATACGACATAGAATAAACCCACTAAAATCTGTACATCTAAACAAACTAAGCAAAAGAGAGGACCCTAACTAAAATGTTCAATCCCCATCCTGAAAGGCAAAGAGGATGCACATCAGAAGAAAAAGAAAATAGGAAACAACCCCAAGGTAACTTTTATAAGAAAAACTAACTGGTTGCTTGCTTACAGTTTCAGAGGCTTAGTCAATTAACAGCATGGCAGAGAACATGGCTGCAAGCAAGAATGTTACAGGAAAAAAATAGTTGAGAGTTACATCCTAGCCCCCAGGCAGACAGAAATACTGGGCCTGCTATGGGCTTTTGAAAACTAAGGGTCCATTCCCCAGTGACATGCTTCCTCCAGCAAGGCCACACCTCCTCCAGCAAGGCCAGATCTTCTAATCCTTTCAATCTTTTCAAATAGTTCTATTTCCTGGGGACTGAACATTCAACTCTATTAGTCTCTGGGGGTCAATCTTATTCAAAACGCCAAGGTTACTAAGACGCAGTGTTTGCCACAGTCACTGGTCCCTGTTCTCTTCTGGGGTTTTATTGGCATGACATGTAAACTTGGTTGGGGTATCAGTCTCATTTGCCCTTTTCTCCTCTCCCTTACTGTCTATTGACCTTCAGCGCAGAGGCTCTTTGTCATTAGTGTGTCAGACTGCATCCACTGTGAACTCAGTGGGAAGGTAAGACGAAGCCAACATCTAGAGAAACCAGTCCTACAGGCTCTGCAAAATCCCAGGACTTTCTTGGCTCCCATTGTCACTTCTGTGGAGTGATTTCCAAGTCTAGACTAGCTTCTTCTGCCAATCTGGCTCACTTCTCAAACCCTCTGTGTCATCCTCCTCTCCTGCCTTTCTTGATGAACTCTAAATTGACTGTGTCCAATTTAGACACAGAGGCATGGCCCCTCTGTCATGCCTAAGATCAAGCCTCTCAACCTTAAGTCTCTCCAAACTCAGTCCAGCCACTCTCACACATCATTCTGTTCAGATCTGGTCCCAATATCAATTAGATCATGGCCATACCTGGCCTGGATTCCACACTTTTGATTTCCAAATTTTCATCTATTTAAATCACTTTACTAGAGTGAACTGCAAGTGGTCTGAGATGCCACTTGTCCAAGCCTTCTTTGCCTTCAGGGCACAGCCCGGCCTCTGTCAATCCTGACCTGCACACCAGATTTTACTGCTTCAAAGCTTCACTGAAAACAGTCCTGTAAGAAGCTCCCAACCTATTCACTCTCCCCCACTCCTGCTTCCACTTTCTTCAACTTTGAACTTTTACTCAATCCCTTTCATTCCACTTAAACTCTTGACCTTTATCCAACTACCACCCTCCATTTCTCCACCCCACCTCACTACTCTCAATTTATAACCCTTCTCCTCTTAAATTCTCACTACCATCCTCCAACCCTTCTCATTTATTCCTTCCAGAAAAATGGAAGGAATTCTCCCACCACCCCAAAACCCTCATCTACCCCTCCTCTTGTCCTCTCCTCATATTCACTCTTCTTCTTACAGCCATACATTTCCCACGAGGAAGGTTGCAGGGTACAATGGATCTATCTGAATCCATGTACTTTTCTCCTCTCAGATGTAAATCAAATACAGGAAAAGTTCCTCTTCAGAGAATTTCCCTTTAGAACGTCCCCCCCACCCCCATTTCACAAAAGAATTTTACGATCTGACCCAAATATACCACTTACTGAAGGTGGCATGACACATACCTTATCATAACCTCCCCTCTCAGCCCAGCGAAAAAGTAACCCACTAGGGCCCATGCAGATCATTCACATACTATAGATAAACAGAGACCCTCTGCAGAGGAGGCAGTCCCAGCCAAGGGTCCACAGTTGAAATTACCAGCTCCCTGGGGATGGCTCTGACTGGCTCAACTAGATTATCACATAACTTTTAGGGGGCATGCAAAAAGTTCTCATTCTACTGTCAATTATGATAAAATGAGAGAAATCACCCAAGCCTCTGGTGAAACCCTGGGCCTCACTCGCCTCATTTCACTGAGGCTATAACTAAACATAGCAATCTAGATGGAACCATCTCGTCAGGGGCCAATGCTTCTTTTTCTCCAAGTCCAGTTTATTAGTTAATCTGCCCTTACATCAGCCCAGCCACACAGGCAGTTAGAAAAGAGGCTTAACTCAAAAAAGCAGGCTGGCCAGTGCCATATACTCCCTGAAGGGAAGCCAGCATGTGCATTAAGAAGAGGCTTCTGGGAAGAAAAAGTGCATATCTTATTTAAGGGATATCACTAATCTCATCTTTTCTTAGGTAGCTTGGATAACCAGGATTGCACCTAAAGCTAGAGACATACCTTCCCCTTTTTATATGTTAACTTAAATTCTGAGGAATGGCTAAAGTGATGCTTACATTTCCAGTGTTACCAGGGAAACGGAAAGTGGAGTCCTTAGCTTCAATAGCCTGAGACTGCTGTAACAAGGCTAGACCTGAGGAAAATAAATTAAGTACCCAAGAATCGAAAGGTTAAAGAAGACAACCAAGTCCTTCTTATATATCTTTTCACACACATACACAGAGAGAGAGAAGAAGAAGAAGAAGAAGAAGAAGAAGAAGAAGAAGAAGAAGAAG